CCCCCCCGTGTGATGAGCTGGGCCGAATACCGCCCCGCCGCCGCCGTCGCTCCACTTCAAATCAGAGGCGGGGAGAAATTGTAGCCACGTGCCGCTGGTCCCGTCTGGTTCCCGCTGGTCCGCCGCTCGGCGCGCAGGCGGTGGTGACCGGGCCGCCCGACCGGGCCGCCGCGACACGTGCAGACGCCGGCCCGTCCACGTGCCCCCCCCCCCGGGCGCGACGCACAACCATGCACTCATTGTCCTCATGCACCCAAGCCTCGGTAATGGGTTCCAGAGAAGCGAGTCTAGTCACCTGTCGACCAACGTGCCACGTCGACGAAGGCGAAGGGGACCCCCTCCCCTCGGAACGCCGTTCTCCCGGCGGGCGCGTCGCGGTAGACCGGGTAGACCTCTAGAGAAACCCCCTGCAACTATAACGCGAACGTAGGGCCCAGCGTCAAAGGGAGCGCTGATTGACCCACTGCACTTATGGGGTCTATCCTATCACGCATCACGTGCTAGGTGCTACGTGATGGGTAGTCTGGCGATTTGCGTGTGCTTCTTCCCCGCACCTGGCGTCTAGCTAAATTGCGCCTGGCACGTAGCACCTAGCTACTAGCACGTATCTACAAGCATTCTTTTTAAAAGGACAGACCCGAGGGGTACCTCCACTCCTCTAGTAGGTTTACACTGACTGGAGACAAGTGATTGGAGATTGATTGGAAATTAATTGGAAATATGATTGGAAATCGATTGGAATTTGAATAGAAACTGATTGGAATTGGTAATGTTTGAATGGAGTAAACGGAAAGAAATTCCTAAAATTCAATTTTGTGGGGCATGTGGGGTGCAAACTGAAGACATTCTGTCAAAAATAGTGCATGTAACCTCTGAAAATAGTAAAAACAACATACCAACATATTTTTGATTTACATATATGGACCTTCTTGGACATTGTAAATTAAAAATATGTTTTAAGCGTGCTATTTCACCTTCTGTAAGGGTTAAAACAGTTCAAAATGCAACTAAATTCACAGAAAAATTCCACTTAACATACTGATTGATTTGTGGAAATGATCGGAGTGATTGGAGTGATTAGAAAATGACTGGAATGTGATTGGAAAACGATTAGTTTTTAGACCGTACACTGATCGGACGTAGTGAGGTACCCCTCGGATAGACCCCTACTCGCCCCTACTGTCCGCAACGTACTTGTACGACGACGTTTCGTTCTATATTAGCGACGACTATAGAGCATTCCGCTGCAAGCGAACCGGAACCTACAGAAGAAAAGCATAACTTCTCGATCTGCTTCCCTCTGCGTGACCGCTGGCTGACCGGCATACCAAGGTCATCGTTGACGTTGACCAAACAGCGTTCAGGAGGAAACATATCGGGCAGTCATGCTTCTCTTCCTAAGGTTCCGGTTGGCTTGCAGCGGTATACCCTATTCCAGAGTGTACATCGCACTCCGAGGTTGATGCGATCAGAAGTAAGCGTCGCACAACTTCGTTTCAAAATGTATTTCACTGTCACTCAAGTTTATCAGTAGATTGGCGTTACTCCGAACGCTGTAGTTCAACGCGTTCAAATTTTTCAATATTAGGCATGACAAAACAAGTAAAAACAAAATATACGAAGTACACACTTTCCATAACACATTATACAAAACCTTGGCCCAGGAAAGGTATCGAGCGCAAACAAAGCACAAAGACTCACCTAATTTTTAAAGATGGGGACGTCACCATTCACACTTCACATTTACATCTTCACAACACATCAAACAGCACTCGAACGTCACTGAACATGAAACTCACAGAATGCCATTTGATAAACACAAGGCCTTTCATTGACACTTTCACAACACATTTATAGATAGGAGTAAGTCACGTGTTGCAGCTGGAGGTTACACTCTAGGTCTAGGCCAAGGTCACATTGTAATGGTGGATAGAGCGGCCGGCGGCAGGGGAGTGGAAATCCTAGATCTAGCATCTCAAGGTAGAGGTTAGTGTCCAGATCTCACACACGAACTTGGCAGCCAGCCTCTCACGAGCATGTCTGGCGCGCTTATTGGACACCGAGCTCAAGTCAAGACACAAAAGTTGCAGCGGTAAACAATTCCAACGGAGATCGGTAGTCGTGAGAGGAGTGACAATGCCGAGCCGGGCGCTAAACGCTAAACTCAGCTGAATCGGTGTCCAGCCCTTGTGAGCGACTGGACTGGGTGCTGGTGTGAGCGCAGCGAGTGTGAGAGGGGTGGCCTACCGGTACGGCGTCAGGCACGGCTTCCTGAGGGGGCGAGGCATCCAGTGGGACAGCGTTAGCCACCAGACCGTTTGTACCGGATGTAACTCTGTGAACACGCAGCAGTGTTGAGGGATTGCGACGCAACCCCTCACAACAACAGTTACACCAGGAGGTATATCCACGAAGGTGGCCCGTTGAAATGACGGGTTTAAGTGCAACTACTAGACACACCTGCTCAGAAGAATGGAAGAGAGACCGGATCGGAGATTCGAACCGGCACGACCTCGACGCCACTGGTGTAAGCCGACGGGCGAGTCAGAGTCAAGAAACGAGTCACCGCAGTCGAAAGAGCGAGAGAGCGAGCAGGGAAATCCTGGTCGGCTGGTGGCGAGCAAGTGAGTGGTTGACATGTCGTGATCGTTTTGGGACGAGTGAGTGTGCCGTCTTATATGTGGGTGGGTGCGCGTGTTGGTGTGTGTGCGCGGGTGAGCGAATGTGCGTGTGTGCTCTGGTCTGATGTGAACAATAGACCCTTTATCCAAACGATTTGGCAACGCCGCACGCTAATAGCTTCCAGCGACAAACTCTTAATTGTGATAAAAATTCAAAATTCTGGCGACGGTGTTTGATTTTTATGACTACTCAGCATCAAACACCGTGGCCAAAATTTAAAATATAGACCACAGTGAAGGGGTGGCCGTTGGACAAAAATAGCGATATTTGGGCGACTGTACGAATATCCGCTTTGTATAAAACGTCTATAAGTGATGCATCAAGGGCGTGCGGCGTTTCGGCTCGACCAGGAGGTTTGTGGTCGGTCGCTGGCCGAAGTAGCGTGACGTTGTCTGCAGTGGCCATGAGTCATACTAGTGTCTGTTATGTGTATGCGATGTGTGCGAGTGCACCTGAGATTGCCACAGTCCCACCTTATGCTTTCGAGTGTGCCACAGAGCGATCACAACAGCCGCCTTCTCATCTCGATAGCCTTGCGTCAGCCACCCGGGCCGCGGGAGCGGCTCCCCGTGGGGTCCCCGGGGTCGCAGCCCCCCCGCTGGGGCACGCGTGCCCCGCGGAGCCTGCTTCAAGGAGCTTAGGGAAGTCTGTCCGGGGCTGACCTCCTTCGGCCCAAACGGCGCGGGCGCTCGCGCTGGTGGTTGGTGGTTTAGATCCCCTTGCGTCGATGTGTGAAAGCGAGGACACACATCCCCTCTATATCTAAAGGGTATTGATGATCCTCCCCGCAGGCGCGGATTAGGGGGGGGGGGGCGATCGCCCTGAGCCTGATACCTACCGATTTGGAGGTCGCGTAACGCTCCCAAAGTTTTATTCTATTTCTTTTATTTATTGCTTGTTAAGGAAAAATATTGTAGCGGCGCTTAAAACTGGTTTAAGAACACGACTAAGGTGTTCTTAGACGTATTTTGACGCAAGGAATCGATTCCCATAGTCCGTTTGAGTGTACCAGTCCATTTGTAGCGAATTTTAG